ATGTTTCTTTCTTCAGAGAACCTTTGGTCTAGTTGGGAAGATGGCCTTGTGTATCCCAGAAAATTAAAAGGCAATGTGGAATATAGAGTGGAACACCGTGCTGCCTGAAAAAGTGGAAGGCAGAAGGGTGAGCAATGGTGAGGCAGGTGGTATGGAGATAGGCAGAAAGGGTTGGAATCTCTCCTCTGCCTCTTCTTACCTGATTCATAGTTGACTTAAATTTCTGAATCCATAGTTTCTTCATCTCCCACCCCTTTGTACTAGAGATTGAACCTTAGGGTGCTCTACCATTGACTTAACATCCCCACCCCTTCTCAATTTATTTATTTATTTTTAAATTTTGAGACAGAGTCTCACCAAATTGCCTCCAACATGTGATCTTCCTGCCTCAGTCTCCTGAGTCCGCTGGAAGACTGCAGGCGTGCACCCATGCACCCAGCTTCTTTATTCTTTAAAATAGCCTAATTATATTTTTGAGGGGTGGTTGTGAACATTCATTGATTTCATTGAATTATTCATTGAATGCCTGTTAGTGCCAGGTGCTGTGCTAGGCATTGGGATAAAACAGGAAAATAGAGACGAGGTTCCTACTCTTGTGGGACTAATATTCTAGTGGTACTGAAGAAAGTAAAATTGTTGCACCAAGGAATGAATTAGAAACTGTTAAGGGTTCTGAACGAAGGGAAGGAACACACTTGAGCTCAGAACTGAAGGGTATGTAGAAGTCAACTTTGTGGCAAGGAAAGGACTATGGAATACCCGGGAGTTAGTATCATTTCAATCATTTCACTGCCTGACTTATAGTAGTAGCTGACAAGGTTTAAAATCACTAATAGCTAGGCACAGTCCTAAACTCTTTAGATTTTCCTATTTAATCATCATACAAACCCGTGAGGTGCATGCATATTACTACCTCCATTCCTCAGAGTGGAAACTGAGGTACGGAGAGATACTAAGTAACTTGGCTCAAGTCACCTGCTTTCGAGTTAATGAGTCGGGATTCTACTCCAGGCAGACTTCATAGCGTTTGTAGCATGGTACACAATAAATGGTGCCTGTTAATGAAAGGCCTCTACATCTGGCAGAGGGCAGAGTGGGAGGCTGTCAGAAAGAGGGAACTGCAAAAAGTGGCACAGGGAAGTGCTACCAAAACCTTTTAGTAGTCCATATTTTGGGTAACACGAACAATTTGTTGGTGCACAAAAAGCAGCCGCGCTGAGAATGAGCCCCGTGCGGTTGGTGCGCGTAAGCACGCACTGCCTGCGTTACTAGGAGAGATGACGGACGACGCCCACGCCACACGCCGCTCAGCTACCCCGTCGCAAGCGCCGGGATCGCTTCTTGGCGGATAAGCCAGTGACTGGCGGGAAGGTCTACGTGCAAGCGCACGCGGCACTCTCTGCCGATGGTCCGGGGACTTTCCCCTAGGCGGAAAGGTAAGGAACTAGTCCCTCGTTTGTAGCCTAGGAAACAGGCCTTCAGCACGAACTGCGGCTTTCGTTGTGCTCTGTGGCACTTTATAGCTCTACGAGAAAGTTAATCTTTTGATTAGGGTGAAGAAATTGGTGATGAGGGATATAAAAGAAAGCATTTTCAAGCATAACTTTTTTTAAAAAGCTTAGGTTTCTGGGAGCATTTTGACTAATAGAATACCTAAATCGGTGGAAAATGAACTAACTTAAGAAAGCCAGGAGTTGGTCTTATGCAAATATCCTATGGTCACGCCCCACACGATTGGGAGTGGCCTCACTGGGGGATCCGGCGCGCGGGATCCGCTCGGGTCGCGTGCGCGCCTGCGCACTAGGGAGGGAGGGCAACGGGCAAAGTCTGGGCACCAAGCTTGCCCGCTTGTGGGCCAGCAATGGCCGGCGCGGTTTCGTCCTCAGGTGTGCTGGGGCTGATGCTTATATCTGCGCTGCTTGGGGTTCTCGGAGAGCCCCCCAGCTCCGACTTCGGAACACACCCAGGTACCGTGGAGGGCTGCTGGAGGGAGGCTGGGACTGCAAGGGAGGAGTCCTCGCTCTGCTGACGAGTCTCTTCTCTCCCTCCGCAGGACACCGCGCCCAGGTCAGCCTTGGGGCCTCCGAACCCCGGCGGCGGTCGCCGCCCAAAGATCAGCGCGAGCGGGGCCGGGCGGGCGCGCTGCCTTTGGGGGCTCTGTACACTGCAGCTGTCGTGGCTTTTGTGCTGTACAAGTGTTTGCAGGTGCGGGACGGCAGTGGGTGGGGCTTTCCAGGGCCTGAATTTCCCGTGGGGGCGCTATAGTATCAAAAACAGGACTCCGCTTCCCTTCTGTCTATAAATTGCAGTCAGTAGTTTCTTGGCTTTCCCACGTTATAGGGTTCGAAGGATCCAGACAGGTAGTGGATAAGAAGGGCTCCTGGTAAATTGTAAATGAAGACCGTCACATTTACTTCTTCCACAATCCAATGAAGAGCGATCACTAAGTAAATAGTGGAGCTGGGATTTGAACCCAGCTGCTGTGTGTACTACGAAAGTGCAGTTCCTGGTGAGGATCCAGCCTTGGCAGCAGTTGATTGCTGCAGCCCCAGTGTGTCCAGAGTTCAAGACATCAGGCAGTCTCAGGTTCTCCTTGGGAAAGAGGCCCTGAAATATGAGCTGACAGTACATTTTGGTGGATTGAAACTGTTGAAATGGAAAGTAGCACCACCCAGGGCTGTATCTTTAGTCCTGATCCTATCACTCACTTGCATTAGAAAACAGGGCTGAACCAGTTTGGAGATTATATGAAACTAGAAGAGTTAGCTAGTAATCATCCCAAGTATACTTGACAGGCAAGGATGAGGATATGAATTTAATGATAAAATTTAGTAAGTTTTGGGGCTGGGATTGTAGCTTAGTGGGTGGAGCGTTTGCCTTGCATGTGTGAGGTACTGGGTTTGATCCTCAGCACCACTTAACAATAAATAAAATAAAGGTATTGTGTACGTCTACAACTAAAAAAAAAAAATTAACAAGGATAGATTAATGAGTTTTATTCTTGGGCCCAAGTACAGTGAGGAGAAAACAACTTAGCACCAGCACCTATAAAAGAGGCATTACAGTTGACTATTAAGTTCATTGTGTGATGTGGCAACCCACTTCCCAAATCAGTACACTGAACAAGTTATTGTGCTCCATCTGCACTACATGCTCAGTAAAGCAACTGGAGAAAAACATGTGAATGGAGCCCTGTCAGAAAAGATTTAAGATTTTATACCAGAAAAGATGGGAAGGAGGCAGGAGTGCAACCATTGTCTTCAGATTCCTGAGGGGCTATCATGTTGAAAATAAAGACATTATTTGGAAGGCTTTTGTCAGCATTATGGATATTCAAAGGAAAAATTTTTGACTTTGTGTATGAACTGATAACCAAAGCTTTATCAAACTGGAGAGGTTTGCTTATTCCTGGAGATAGTTCCACAGATAGAGCACATAGGGGGCATATTGATAGGTTGCTTCATGTCTCGGGTAAGAACCTGGACTAGAAATGAGATTCTCTAAGGTTAAAAATCCAATAGCTGGGACTGGGCTTGTGGCTCAGTGGTAAAGTGCTTGCCTAGCACATGTGAGGCACTGGGTTTGATCCTCAGCACCACAATAAAATAAAGTATTGTGTTCATTTACAACTGAGGAAAACAAATAAACAATAGCTTTCTACTGCAAATTCTCCTGTCCTTACTAGTTATGGGAGACTTAGGTGCTAGAGCAGAACTTTGTTGCTACTATATTGCCATTTTCTTCTCCCCCTACAGGGCAAAGATGATGCTGCAGTTTTCCAAGAGGAGAAAGACAAGGAGGAATCATTGCAGTCAGGTGGGTTAAGCATAAGTCTGTCCTTGGTGGTGATGGTGAGGAGACTGGGACAGCAGAATGGTTACTTAACTTTGCTCCCCTTTTCTCCCTAACCCTCAGAGAGGCATCTGGCCCAGTTGACACAACAGCTGACCCAGACAGAGCAGCACCTGAACAATCTAATGTCCCAGCTGGACCCCCTTTTTGAGTGGTAAGAATTTGTGGCAGGTGGGAGTCATGGAGACAGTTTGGGCAGCCCCTGAGTGAGTATTTCTGCAGTGTGACTACTTTGGTTGGAGCCCAGCGGGAGCTTCTGAACATGAAGCTACAGACCATCCACCAGCTTCTACAAGACTGCAAACCAGATAAAGGTGTGGAGGTCCCAGAACCAGGTAAAGGGTTGAGAGCTGAGTCTGGTGATGGGGAGATAGTCTCTGAAACTGGAACATGCTGATCTTTCCTTTCACAGAGGCCAGCATACCTTCTCCTGAGAACTTAAGAACAGAGGAGGATGAAGAGGCTGGTGACAGTCAGGACTGGGAAGAACCCATAAATTGGAGCACAGAGACTTCCTGGGAAGTAGAGCAGGGGCTAAGGAGAAGATACAGTAAGACTGTGACAAAGGAATCCAGATACAGCTCCAGCCAGGAAGAAAGGACAACAGCTGAAGGTTTAGTAAAATAAAGTCTATCCTTTAGTAAAATAAGTCTGCTTCTGTGCACTTTTTTCTCTCCCCGTTGGTCATACACCCATACTAGGTGCCTCAGGCCTCCTTGAAAAGCTTCCCTTATTAGGACAAAAGACACTGCCTTCCAGAGTGAGAGCAGAGAAGACAGAGGGAGCTCCAGTTCTTTTCCTTGTATTCCTGAGGCTACCAGCACACGAACCTTCAGGCCCCCCCCCCCCGCCCCCCGCAAATCCCTTTTTTCATAGGTGAGACAGAAGAATCTTTCCAAAAACATTTATTAAAATCCAGTGGGAAAATAAATTATAGAAAACTATATACAACATAAAAACAGCCACCCTTAACAAAGCTGCATACCCATAGAGGGCATGAGCTTACCAGCCCCAAATCCCCTCATCTGTGTTGGAGGGTCTAGTTCAGCTGAGGTTGTTAGCTGATTTCCTGATTTTTGTCTGCAGTACTGGGGACTGGACCCAGGGGCGGTGTACCACAGAGCTACATTCCCAGTCCTTTTAATAATTTTGAGACAGGGTCTCTTGCTAAATTGCCCATGCTGGACTTGTACTTGTGATCCTCTCGAGTTGCTAGGATTATAAGCACCAGCCACCATGTCCCCAGCCTGGGTTCCTGATTCTTAAAATGATCCCTGTCAAACCAAGAAGGGTTCTGTACTTTTAGTGCTGAAGAAGATTCCTTTGTACTTCTGGCTCTGACCTATCCCTGAAGTATTCTGAGTTTTGAATTTGTAAGATTCCTCTAGTTCTTCTGGCTGCTGTGGAGAAAAAACAGTTCAGGTACTAACATGAGCACTCCATTTAGACACAGCCACCTGCAGGGTTGGGGGAGGTCCCAGGAGATATAGGAATGAGGTAGGATTAGACCTGTGATCCTGCTCATTTCAGTCCTGGGTCTTGTCACAGCACTCTTCTTGATAAAGACACAACACAACTCACCTGATAGCCAAAGTCAGACTGTGGTACCAGTGTGACAGCTCCTCCTGGTCTGTGGACATAAGCAGTAGCTTCTCACGGGGGAAGGACAACTAGGGAGAGACCACCTCTTAGTGCATGGCTCAGAAAGGTCCAGGCTGAAGCCCTTGCTATTCCATTGAGGTGATTTAGGACTGAGAACTATGAGGCTCAAGCCCCAGGTATTTCTCATATCCTCTCATTACTATGAAAAGGGACCCAGGTGAAGGAGATAAACAGGCCCAGTAGTGTTTGAGATATACTTTGGATCTAGGGTTCCTGCTATTACTTACACTGAGCAGTCCACCACAAGGGCCTCCTGAGTGGCCAAAGACCCTGCAGAGTTGACACTGGGCCATAGGATAGAGGGCTTTACAGGCAAAGGTGCCACTCTGCAGCAGGTGCAACTGGGGTCGAGGCTTGGCCATGAGGAGCACATCGGAGAAGAGAAAAAACATGCGAGGCCGAGGTTCCCCACTGGAAGGCACCACCAACAGCCACCCCTGGCGTAGGAACCAGCGTCCTGGGGGATGGGAGAGCTGTTATTTTGGTGCAGCTCCAGGATCCATGGGAATAGGAGGAAAGAGGTAGAGTTTGAGGGGCATGTGTGGGTTCTATAGAGGAAGAGATGATAGGCAAGAAGGATTTGAGGATTGAGATGAAAAAGTAAACAATCTACCTGAAGTAAGTCCCTTTGCCTGGCGTCCACTGAGCAGAGCCTGGATACGCCGGAGGTGCTGCTCATTCTTCTGTTTCTGACCAATGCTGTGGACTCTCTGGGCAGTCTCACTTATCAGCCGGGCAGCCCCTAGAATATAACACCTTCAACCTCAATGCTCACACACTTTTGACTTTGGGTGACTGATTGGTACCGGTGAAAGACAGGCTATGCTGGAGGGGACTGGGTCAGGGTTTAACTTCTTGAAGAAAAGGCAGGGCAATAAGGATATATTAATGGAAGCTAGGGACATACATTGTTGGAAATCAGAACCAGAAAAGGATACAAGAGCCAGCCTCCTGCCTGAGCTGAAAAGGAGCAAGAACTTACGTGTGAGCTGTTGATGGTCAGGACTATTGGGACCTGTATTTTCAGCCAAAGCAACAACCAGATTCTCATACCTGGAATTAACAGTGTAAGTCTACAAGGGGAAGTAGAGCCAGGCAAAATTCCCTTTGCCTCTGCTTGACACACAATCAGCCCCCATATATTCTTCAGTTGCAGGTCCAGGAAAGATCTGCTTCTGGCTACTGTATCCCCTTCTTTCATCTGGGATTTGGAACCTGGGCTCACACCATTTGGCCCGCTTCAATTCCACACTGAAGAGTCAAAGGCAGGCCACAGTCTGGAAGGCCAGGTCAGGATATAAAAGTTAATCAAACCTAGAAGGATGCTGCAGACAACCTATGAACCCTTAAACCCATTCCCAGGGACAGAGATTCTAGTGTAGGTTGGCCACTCATTTCAACAAACTTCTCCAGATAACTTGCCTCAGACCCTATTGCAGCCCCACTCACTTTACAGGGTTCCACAGTCTCAGACTATGGGTACTTGTGGGTTCACATGTACTCTTGTAAAAACTTCTTAGAAGAAATCTGGCTCAGGAGAGCCAGTAGGTTGGGATGACCCCATGACCTCCCCCAAAACTGAGGACAGCAGTTATACAGTCTCAAAGAGACTTGGTTGGAGTCGAGGGGAGTTCACTCACTGCTGCAGCCGCTGCAGAGGCAGAGGGAGCAGATCTTGAAGCTTAAGTCCCCCAAACTCAGGGCGACCTTCCTGAAGGTGCACAAACCTCCGAAAACGCTTGTTTTTCTTTAGTTGTTCCTAGAGTGAGGGGAAAATAATTGGCAACAAGAGAAGCCACTCCTTATATTGCATTCATCTGTGTACAAACCCCAGCCTTCAGTAACTGTGTGCTCTGTGCTCCTGAGAGAAACTTGGTCTCCCTAGGGGAAACTCGACACAGGCTAAGCACCCAGAGCTCTATAAATGCAGGGATTATGTGAATGAAGTTTGGTTTCTAGATGAAGAGAAAATGTGAGGGGCAAGCTAGACACTAGGGAAAAGGGATGGATTTGAGGTCATCTCCAGGTTACCTGTAGGGTGGTCTGGGACCTCTCCGCATTAGCTGCAAATTGGGTGTAGAGCTCCAGGTGGTGGCAGAAGCCTTCCAGCCCCTGTCCCCAGTGTCCTTCTTCCAGGTAGGGAAGCAGCATTCTGTGTGGGCAAAGGCAGTAAAAGGGAAGCCCAAGAACTACTCAAGGACTCCCTCACTTAATTCTCATAATTCTACCCCGAGGTAGTGCTATTAACCCATTTTACAGATGGAGAGGCTGGCAGGTTAAGGAATTGGGCCAAGGCTACAGGTGAGAAAATTGGCAGACCTGATTCGCTCTGACTCAAGACAGAGCTCCTTGCCAGAAGTTATGGCCCTCCCTCTTCTCGCGCCCCTTCCACTCACTGGCTGGCGCCGTAGATGAGCTCCCAGGACCCAAATAGGGCCTGGCGCTCGGGTGGTCGTAGAGTCCCCTTCGCTTTCAGGATCCCCAAGAAGTACTGTGGAAGGAGCGAATACAGGTGTCGGGAAGAATGGGCCAATGCAAGCTGCAGCCAGACAGACGCTTGCCTGACTCCCTATATGCAGAATCCAAGACCCACCATACTCGGGGTCGTCACCTAGCAGAGACCTTCCCACACCCTGGGCTCCCAACCCCACACGAGGAGGCCGCTCCGGGCCCGCACCGTGGCCACCAGCCCTAGTTGTTCCTGGTAACGCCGCTCGGTCTCGAGCAGCTCCCTGGCGGTGCAGGCGCGTTTCCGCTCCCACCGAGCACGCTGCTCCCGCACCGGGCACCGCGAGCTGGGATCTGGGATCTCCATTACTGTCCGAGGGTTGATGTTTCCGGCCGCAGCCCGCCGGAGATTCAAATTCCAACGCTTCCAGGGCGGGCCCCGGGTGGGATAGGGGAGGAGCTCTGAGGAATGAGCATGCGCAATGGCCATGGGCTCGCCTCGGCTCTCCTTTTCCTGTGGTCGCCCCAACACAAGGGCAACCCTGTAGGTGGGCGTGGACTGTGGCGGCAGCTGGATTTGCAGTCAGGACACTCAATAGGTGCAACCACTGGCAGAGCCTCATGTCTTTTTTTTTAAATCCCCTTTGGGGATTTTAGTCCCCTTTGGGTACCTGGGACTAATCTCAGGGACACTCGACTACTGAGCGACATCCCCAGCTCTATTTTGTATTTAGAGACATAGTCTGAGTTGCTTAGCACCTTGCTTTTGCTAAGGCTGGCTTTTAACTCGCGATCCTCCTGTCTCAGCCTCCCGAATCGCTGGGGTCACAGGTGGGCGCCACCCTGCCGGGCTAGCCTCAGTGTCTTATTTGTAGAATTGGGAATGGGACAGAATTGGAAATGGGACAATCATTACGGTATGTTCTGTCCTGGGCCCATGCCAGTCTACAGAAGGGGTTCAGTCATTCCCAATGTTTTCAACACCTTTCTGGCCCCTGAACAAACAAGTTTACAGATTTTAAGTTATTGTTTTATTCATTTCCTACTGGTCCAAAGCCTGACAGATTACTAGCTTCTGATGAGGCTGTCAATTAAGTGGTAGTTATGATTTGCTGTAATTTTGACCCAGGGCAAAAGCTTTGAGTTGATGGGTCCTTGCTGCCTTACCAAAAATGAAATGTACTTGGCCTGGTGTGGTGGCCCATGCCTGTAATTCCAGCAGCTGGGGAATCTGAGGCAGGAGTGTGGCAAATTTAAGGCCAGCCTCAGCAACTAAGAGAGACCCTGTCTCAAAATAAATAAATAAAATAAATTAAAAAAAAAAGAAAAGAGGGCGAGGGATGTATCTCAGTGATAAAATGCTCCTGGGTTCAATCCCCAGTACCTATAAAATAAAAAATAAACATAAAATGTACCTGGGCTGGGGATGCGGCTCAGTGTTAAAAGTGCTTGGCTGGGTTTGATCCTCAGCACACAAAAAATAGATAAAATAAAGTGTACTGGGCTGGGGTTGTGGCTCAGTGGTAGAGTGCTTGCCTAGCACATGTGAAGCACTGGGTTCGATCCTCAGCACCTCATAAAAATGAAAAAAAGATGTGTATGTCCACCTACAACTAAAAAACAAATACTTTTAAAAAATAATAAGGTGTACCAGCAGGGCTTGAGGCCTGAGGGTGAGGCAGGAGGATCTCTGTGAATTCCTGCCAGCCTAGGCAATTTCCTAAGACATTGTCTCAAAATAAAACTTATTTAAAAAACAGCTGGGATGTAGCTTAGCTGTAGAGTACTTGCCTGCCAAGTACAAGGCCCTGGGTTCAATTCAGTACAAAAAGAGTAATGATACAAGATTTAGTGTTATAAGATAATTATTGTACTATACATTTGTGTTTTGTGGGCCAGGTGTTTATCAAGGTGTAACGAGGATGGCTTGTTTATGTTAATTATGTTTGGGGCCTCAAATGTGGCAAAATGATTAAAATGGTTGGTGCTGGAATAAAAAAAATAGTAATGATAATAATAATAAATGTAGGGGCTGGGGTTGTGGCTCAGTGGTAGAGCGCTTGCCTAGCACATGCGAGGCCCTGGGTTCGATCCTCAGCACCACATAAAAATAAATAAAATAAAGGTATTGTGTCCAACTACAACTAAAAAATAAAAAAGAAAATAGAGTGTTTCCTAATTTAAAAGAGCAATAATTCCTAAAAAATAAGTGGAACAATTTAAATCTATGAAAATAGAGGAAGGTAAAACACAAAACAACAAAGTTAAAAAAAAAAAACCTTAAAAAATAATAAATGTACCCAATTTTCCTAATTTAGTCTTTTGAAAAACTGGAAATAGCCATGTGGTAAATTGGCAATGCCATTTTGTTAGTATGTATGTATCAGCTCTTTTTTGTGGAGGTACTAGGTATTGAACCATAGGGTGCTTTACCACTGAGCTACTTCCAACCCCTTTATTTTTGATTTTGAGACAGGGCCTCGCTAAGTTGCTCAGAGCCTTGAACTTGTGATCCTCTTGCCTCAGCCTCCAGAGTGTATCAGACTAGTGGTTCCTAAATGCATCTTAATGACTATGTGGACAAATATATGTGCCAGAATGTCTGGCACAGTGTTTGTAACAACACTGTGTTTGTCACATTTTCAGGTTAAAGGCATGGACCTGGACATGTCTTTATGGGGGCCACTATTTAGTCTTGTACTTGGCAGGCAAGTACTCTACAGCTAAGCTACATCCCAGCTGTTTTTTAAATAAGTTTTATTTTGAGACAATGTCTTAGGAAATTTTAGGAAACCACCTAAAATGTCCAATGGAAAAGACCTGGTTAGAAAAATTATGGTATAGCCAGGTGCAGTAGCTTATTCCTATAATCCCAGCTATTTAGGAGGCTGAGGCAGGAAGATTACAAGTTTGAGGCTAGGCTCAACAACTTATTGAGAACCTCAAAATAAAAAAGTGTAGGGATGTAGCTCAATGGTAAGGAGCCCCTGGGTTCAATCCCCAGTGCTACCAAAACAACAACAACAAAACAAACAAACAAAAAATCCCCCAGCTATTTGAAGGAATAATATGAAAACATTAAAAATGATGTTTAAGGGGCTGGGGTTGTAGCTCAGTGGTAGAGCACTTGCCTTGCACATGTGAGGCACTGGGTTCGATCCTCAGCACCACATAAAAATAATAAAAAAGAAAACACTCATTATAAGTATATTGTTGAAGGGAAAAAGCAGGCTATAAAACTGGGTAACATATAAAAGGAAGACTAAATAATCAAAAGCTAATTGTGTTTTTAATCTCTGTGTGATCAGAGTAAAGATAATTTGGACAAAGATGTATTATGTACCTAACCTGTTCCAGACAGTGAATCACTAAGATTCAAGGTACAAATTCCCTCTTCACCTTCCAAGTATTCAGCTTTGAGCATGCCTTATTTATAATTAGAAAATACATTTCGAAGTAGGAAACAAAATGTTAAAGAGAGAAACTACCATTTTTGATTCTCAGGAATCTGGGCCCCAAGCCAAGAACCAGGGGATTGTCAGGGTTCTAAGCTCCCCTCCAGCTCTGATATTCTAAGAATTCTAAGAATGGGAAAATGCTGGGCTTGGACCAGGCAGGAACAACTTGAAGATCTTGGATGGAGAAAAGTTAAGAGTTTGGATCAGACTGTATCTTATGCTCAGGTCCCGTGGAAACTGGTGACAACATATGGTTACACTGTCTCAAATGAATGAGGCACAGTTCATACTAAAAGCTCAAGTATGGAAAAAGCCAGAGAATCCCATAGTCATCAGTATCACTGTGACCCCAGGTGATGAGAATAGAACATCATAATGCCTGGTGGAGGCAGTTGGTGACCAGTATGTTTGAGGATGCTGCCATTGTGACTGTGCTTAAGGGAGAGAATAGAGCCTACTGTGAGCTCAGGTGAGGGAATCATTCAACTCTGGAGGAAGGAGAGGGAAAAGCTGAGAAGACATACTGAGGACATTCTGTGCATCCACTCTAGTTCCACTACACTGACGATAGACTAAATAGTGGCCCCCATAAAGACATGTCCAGGTCCATGCCTTTAACCTGAAAATGTGACATTCTTTGGAAAAAGGGTCTTTATAGATATGATTAAGGATCTTGAGATGAGATCATCTTGAATTATCTCAGTGGGCCCTAAATCCAAAAAGTGTGTTTGTATTGATACCCTGTGGGGCACACCTGTAATCCCAGCAGCTAGGGAGGCCGAGGCAGGAGGATTGCTAAGTTAGAGGCCAGCCTCAGCAACTAACCGAGGCAGCTTAGTGAGACTCTGTCTCAAAATAAAAAGGGCTGGGGATGTGGCTCAGTGATAAAGTGCCTCTGGGTTCAATTTCCAGCACCAATAAATAAATAAATGAATTAATAAAGTAAGTAAGTAAGTAAGTAAGTAAGTCACCCTGTAGAAAGACACAGCATCAGAGGCAGCTGCCACATGAAAGAGGTAGATAGATATTGCAGTATGCTGTATCCCGACCTGGGAAGATTCAGGACACAAGAATTTCAGGAGTTACTAATTAGAAAAAAAAAAAATTCTAGGAGCTCAAACCTGTTTTATGTTTGGCAGACTCCCATATGGTGTTATTGTCAGCCTCAAGCCCAGGAGTCATAAGAATCTAGAAGAGGCAAGGAAAGATTCCTCCCTGGAGGCTTCTTAAGGAGCCTGGCCCCATTAATACCTTAATTTTAGACTTCTGGCCTTCAGAACTGTGAAAGAATAAATTTCTGTTGTTTATACCTAGTTTTTGATAATTTTTTTGTTTGTTTTGTTTTTCTCAGATTTGGGGGATTGAACCCAGCGTCACTCTAACATTGAGTTACAACCCAGTTTCTATGTTTTAATTTGAACCAGGTTGTTGTTACATTGCTGAGGCTGTCCTTGAATTTATGATCCTTCAGCCTCAGCTTCCCAAGTAGCTGAGGTTAAGGTGCGCAAGACTATACCCAGCGAGTTTGTGGTAATTTGTTACAGAAGCCCTTATTACAGCCGCCCTAAGAAACTATTAATACAGATGGTGCAATGGGCCAGAACTACAGGTCAGCCTCAAAGCTCCAGAAAGGCTTTGACCTGTCTTTGTTCCCAATCCGTGGTTGGAGAAAAGGGATCTTTTTTCATTCTACCCTGTCAGCAAATATCTCCCTCCTCTGCAACCCTGAGCTAATCAGAAACACGTTTAAGTAACGTGTTCCTGAGTGTTTGACAACACAGATCCAGTTGACAGAAAACTTGGTCTTAAACAACTGCAGCGACTTCTGCACCAGGTGGGGACTACCCCAGTTGATTAGTCCTGAGTATGCTGTGTCCCCACCTGGGCAGATTCAGGACACAAGAATTCCAGGAGCTCAAACCTGTTTTAGTGTTTGGCAGACTCCCAGCTGTGAAGGTGTGATCCAGGATCAGAGTC